GGTGATGCATCTGGCTGGTTGTACGGGTCTGCAGGCTCTGCAGGTGTCACAGCAGGTTGTTCTGCTGGCGAAGCAGGCTGAGCCCCTGCTGATGCAGCTGGCTGGTTGTATGGGTCTGTAGGTTCTGCAGGTGTCACAGCAGGTTCTTCTGCTGGCGAAGGGGGTGGAGCAAAGGATGCATCCGGCTGGTTGTATGGATCGATAGACCCTGCCGACGTCCCAGCAGGTTGTAAACCAGTTGATCCATCTGGCTGGCTGTATGGCTCCGTAGCTGATAGCGAAGGCTGTCCCTCAGAAGTGAGTGGAAATGCAGATGTGCCTGCACCAATCTCCTGCAATCGTCTCTGAAGAGTGTTAGCCTCTGGACTTCGAAGCTTGTACTTCTCAAGCCGCAAGATCAGGTCTTGCGCCTCAGTCAGAAGCTTCCTCAAGTCCTCCCCCTTGCAGAAACACACCCACGCAAAGCAAATGTAGTGCCACAAGCGCCATCTCATGGCGGACGCGAGCAGCTTGCTGTGTTGGGCGAATTCATGCCAGTTCCCCTTCTCTTGTTTGGCCTAGGCCGTGCAGCCAAATCCTGCGGCAGATCTCATATAGCCAGTTTAACCCCTCCAAAGCTTTCAGAAAGTATGAAAGGCGCAAAATGCCACGAGGCACCAAGCATCTCACGCAGAAAGTTCACTCTTCTTTCCCAAAACTCCACTTCCAACAGCTGTGATCACTCGTTCCTCGTTTTGGTCTGGTATGCCCCGTCGTATACAGGAACCCATTGATATCCCGCTGTTCTCAATCTTGGACACCACACTTTGTGGTACAAGAAGCACCTCTTTCTTTCCAAACTTTTCCCCTCCCTCCCGCTCCCTCCCCCTTCCCATGTGAGGGTGGAAACCTCTTCGGACACTTGTTGATGAAGAGTCAGGCTATTCATTTATTTACCCCTCTAGGTTTTACATGGTTTTACATGTTGTTTAATACTGTATATTGGTGATTCTTGGGGCCAAATGTGCCCGTTCTCTACTCAACTGGTCGTTCTAGTTCTTAACGACCGGCCCTCCAAGCAATAGCTTCAACTCGAAATGAAGACGTATGACGAAACCATCAACTTCTTTCAGCATCGCTTTCAAAATCAATCCAAAGAAGAAAATTGTTGACTGCGCTTGGGCTTCGATTCCTGACATAGTGCTCCAACATTCCTAAGCTAACACATAAATAATGGTTGTGTGTAAACGCAAGGATTCAAGCAAAGTGCTCAGGTTGAGTATTTCAAGTGCGTGTGCCCCGCTCGCCTGCACTTCTCTCCACCAGAATCTTCACCACTGTATCCTCGGCCCGACTCCCAGTGAAACAGTAACAAGGGCTGAGCCAGGTCAAACAGATTTCACATGTTTGATCACTTCTGCCTGTGGGCCATCCTGGAAATGCAAAGTCAGTGTTTCTAGGTTTGTTGGAATGCACCCTCTACCCATAAAAGTAAGACAACACAGTGGCCTGGGGATCATTGCCACACTCATCTATGTAGCGGTCTTGTGGCACAGTCATTATGTGGGCGCTTCGGGTATGTTCGTGCACGCTTTGCGATACATTGAGGCGTGGACCACGTTGAGGATGGGGTAAGCTCCTGGCAAACGGGTCAGCGAGGCTCATGAACTTCCTCGTCGACGACAAATCCCGCCAATGGAGATTTGCAGGGCCACCGGCAATGGGTAGAACCAGAACCCGTGATCCACGGAAGGACTCGTGTGGAAAAACATTGGATGCCATCACTTAACGCATGCATAAACAACAAACTCGTGCACGTGTGTGGTGAAAAAGTCAAAACTGTTCTCCATCCTTTCCACGGCACCGCAACCCTCATGTTGGCATCATAACAGAATAACGCTTGTCAGCTCTAGAAGTGTCATGATGGCAATTTATATACCTGAAAATGATTGGGTCTTTTGCTCGTGCCAAAATGCTCGCCAAATTGAGGCCGGAGAACATGCTGCACTCCAGGTCAATCGAAGAACGTTGAAGTCTTCACAAGTACCATGGCAATCATCCAGTGCAGCCGAGTTGTACTCGACCCTCCAGTCTCCCTGCTGCGTCTCCTTCTGACAGAACGTTTGCCAAGTTCCGGTTCAATTGAAGTCTGGAAACCTATAGAAACCTCCCTTCGGGTAGAAGACCGCACATTGGCTTCTGGACTTTGCTCCTTTGCTCGCAAAGCGCTTCACCGGCAAACGTCGCAGCTGGGGTGGAGCCCCGCTGATGGCACCTGGAGGTGTGGTCGTGCCCATAGGGAAGTGGGTGGGTGTCTGTAGTATTCTGGACGTGGTGGTGCCCTGCCTAGAGATGATTTATGGATTCAGAAATAAGCGGCACGCAATGACAAATGCCGAAGCTCGGGGCCTGGACAGGAGGTGTTAGAACCCGAGGTGTAGAACCCAGAGATCTTCTCAGCTTGCTTCGGACCTTCTTTCTGGCTCTGGGGTGACCTACATGCTGTCACACCAAACCAGTCCAAGAGCACAAAAGGAGTTCAAATCACCTGAATTGGTAATACAATAGTGACTTGAAACCACTGGTTTCCGTTCAAGCTGTCTTCTTGCAAGCTGGTCTTCAAACGCAAGCAAAGCCCTCCTCTCCAAAAGTCCCCCCTTTGCCATTCTAAGCACTCTATCTCCTGAGTTTAACTTGCCTAAGTCAAGCAAAGTAAGACCTTTGAATCGTCAAGCGCTATTGCTTACCCTGCATGTAAGTGCTGTACTTTCCAGTGCCCTCACCCCCTCCCTCCCAAACCAAAGTCCTCCCTTCCTCGAACATGAGGAGACTCAATGGCACATAAGTCTGAGCATGGAGTCTTTCTCTATATATATATATAATTACTTAAATACACACATGATGAGAATCGAACAAACCCATGTGAGGATTTCGAGAAATACCAGCGCCGCACATTCCTTCAGAAAGAATCCCCCAAATGCAGGTGACAAAACTGAACATCCTACATGTCCCGGATTCTCACTAGACCCAACAGGCTGATTCACTGGCATGCCTGCTTTTCCCTGAGCTTGCAAAAGGCTCCTCAGGAGGGAAGGTGCTTGGTGCTTTCTGTGGTAGCTCGCTCCTTTTTCTCCCAGACTCGTGTGGTTGCTTACTACCCTCCTAAAGCTCCCTTGGCTGATCAGGCAAAACGCAAACCATGGCCACACTATGGGTCAAAACATGTCAAGGCCATGACCATGGTGGCTGGCAAACTGCACTGTTTCTCAAACTCAACCTTTAGGGCAGCATTGTCCAAATGTCAGCATATGTCAGAATGGATTAACAAACTCAGAAGGGTTCCGTCGCGCTCAATTTCTTGAATGCTTCAGCTGCACTCCTTTGAAGACTGTAGCTCTTCTCAAGAACTTCTCGAGTCGAAGACTGCCGCTGCCGGGTGTTGTGCGGATGCGCAACGCTTCTTTGCTTCGGGCCTCTTCTTCTGCGGCACCCGGTCAACCAACCCGCCAATCACGTAGATCTTGTCCTCCTGAATGACTGGCAATTTTGTTATGGTGCCGAGGAAGCTGGATTGCTGAGGATGTGCACATTGTCACATTGGCAGAATCTAGTCAATCCATTGCTCTAGTGACGTGACCCCAACATAGAAAAGTGAACCCCCTGGTCCCTGGTTGATAGAACATGTCTTAGAAATCATGGGGCTATTGATTTGGTCATTGGTGATCTGTGATGTGCCTATTTTGTGTGAACCACCACATCGTGTTCCCTCAGGTTAGCCATCGAAGTAAGCCAAGAGAAGCTCAAAAGCGAAGCTAAAAACAAGCTTCCAGCAGCCACTTTCGGGAACGACCGCCTCGAACTCTCTTGCAGTCGAACGCTCCTCAATGCAGTCGAGCTCCTCCTCCGCATCGGGCGATAAGACCTGGACATCTGTTTGAGAGGCATGAAAAGATGCATGCTGTATACTACTAATCCAGAACCTCAACTGATGTCCTGTCTGCACATCAGGCACAGGATGAGACACCTCGTCATTGTTTTTCTACCAGGTGCAAAAAGAAGTTGGCCGAAGCCAGACTAACCAAATGCGTGACATGCACCCTGCATCAGTTGCATCTGAGCCCCGTGCGATCAAGTCTTCAATCCTTGACGGAGGTCCGCTGCGGGGACCATGTAGTTATGTAGTTCTGAACATTGGGTAGCTACTAGGAACAAGTGCATCGCTTCTAGTAACAAGTGCCTTACTTAGTAGTAACAAGAAGCTATTAGAAACAAGATCACTTTTCCCCAAATAGTGTTTGGGATTTTGTTCTAAATCCTGGACCTGTTTGTCTTCATGAGAGAAACTCCATCAAGAAACCATACAGAACCCCATCTAAATCTAACTTGTATGCCATGTCAGCTTGCCCAAAGGCCTTGAAACATATTCATGAATCAATCTATGTGCACCAGGCCACACACATTTAAAAAAAAAATCGTCTCTTCCGACCATCTCATCCCGATGCTATGCCTGCTATGCTTGCTATGCTTGTACTCACATCTTTTCCTGCCACTCGGCCCCTGCCAAACCCATCTCTTCTCATCCAGTTGGACCAAAACGGTTTTGTCCTCACCCATCGCACAGCTCACTCTGGGTGCGAGCATTGCCGGGGCACCGAGCACAAAAAGCTCCCAAAGGCTTTCCTCATGGCGGTGCACTTTCCACCCGTCCAGGCCTACTGCCTCGTCCGCGCACGGAGCAGGGTGAGAGAATGTGAAGCTTGTCATCTAATACGACGTGGTTTGTATACTATTGTGAACGTGGAACATGACATTCCACCAGGATCTCAGCTGTATGTTCGTTCTTGTGCCCGATAAATGTTGGGCTCAACTCTCAGGGGTACCGTGTCGCGCGTCGTGGAAATGTGTGCGATGTGTGCGGTTCTTTCATTGCTGTGACTACATTGGTGCCGCGGAGCGTGGCAACGATCCTTCGAGGGTCCAGTTTAAAGATTCGTTGAATCTGGTGCTGCACTAGCAGTTGGATGACAAGTCAACGTCATCAGCGCCAATGGCGCCCAGGTTTTCAGGGCCTAGAAGCCAATGAATGGGGTGAAGAAGAGGAAGAAGAGGAGTCGCAGTCGAGTTCTAGACCACAGACCACTGGAACTGGAGCGTCCGAACACCGAAGCAAAGGGTCGACAGGTCCTCCTCCTAGCTATGATGGTAGCCGGGCAACAGGAGCATTCGAAGAGTATAGGCTCAGAGCGAAGCTCTGGCTGCATACCACCAATCTAGATCCAATAGCACGAGGTCCGAGGATGCTGCAAGCTCTTACCGGAAAAGCCTTCGAAGCTGCAAAGCACCTGATTGAAGATGACAACTGGTGTGGATCCCCGGATAATGGCATGGAGCTGATCCGATATTTGTCCAGACCCGAATGTTTTGGAAAGGAGGAATTGGAATCTCTCTGGAGCGCAATGACCAAGCTGTTCTACTCTGCACTTAGGCGTAGTGATGATGACCTTGCTGCATTCCG